AGGAAGGCGTACAGTCTGGGCAGTCTGGGCAGGTATAGATTACACTTTTCTAAAACATATTTGAAAAATAAAAACGATTACAATCTAATCCTTCCACGCTTGATCCCAAAATCCAGCACCCAGAAAAATAAATCTAAACGGGTAAAAAGCTATGCTGAAAGTTTATTAAGATACTTAGAAGACAAAGATACTGTATCAATTTATGTTGCATTAGTCTGATTATGATTAAAAAAAGACATATAATTAAACACGCGTTTGCGATTTAAATCAAAACATGATTTAAATTAATCTAAATGTTTATATTGTAACGCATACTGTCCAGCCTCCATTTCTCTATAAAAATGTACTCTATTACAAATTTACAATTTGTTGATAATAGAAATGTTAGGTTCTCTAAAGCTTTGTGATAGCTGACCCACCCAGGCAGCAAAACATCAGCTGCACTGGTAAGATGTGACACCAAAGATATGATTAATAACCTTTTAAATCTGAAGGGATTCCCCCACACACACACAGCAGAAGCAGAAGCAGGAAGCAGAAGTAGGGACCGTTGTCAGAAGGGAAGAAGGTGACTATTCATTGTTATCAAAAATGACTTAGAATCGATCATGTTGTGATATTTTGAAATATAAAAGTCAATTGATTGTCCATAATATTGCTATTCTATTTTTCGAAGAAATGTTTGTTAAAAGAAGAGTCTCAGCACCAGCTGGATTTGAACACACAACCTGTAGGTTAGTAATCAGGCATGTAGACCAGTGGGCTACAAGGGAAGCCGCATGAAGAGTAAGGCGAAACAGCACTACACAGCCCTGTTGCAGTACACGAATATAATCATATCGTTATTGATTTCTTTAGATACGCGATTCCATATTATATTAGCAGAAAAGCTTAAAACTACCACTTTTTCACACGCTATTTCACATGTTAGTTAAATACTTCGATGCTTAAAATTTTTAGGGAGAAATGGAATAAAGTGTATTTTTCCTTTAAAGTACCGATTCCTGGAATCTGACTGGCTGACACCCTTCTGAAGTGGTTCCATAATATCTGGTATATGGAAAAGAAAGTGTTTATAAAAAAGCCTGGATTCTCATGTATCTCATACAAGTATCTTTTAATACAGTCTTTGCTGTGCTCTTGAGGATCATTGTGGTATTTTGAGCTCTAGTTGAATGATAAGTGTCGCATTTTAAATCATGTTCGTAGTTAGAAATTATGAAACGCCCTGTTAAAAGCAAGGATGTTTTTATGCCCGTTGAAGTAAAACAAAATGCCTGACAAAGTAGGGCTTGGAGAGATTCCAAGTGCTTGTACAAATGTGCTAAAGAAATTATACTTTGAGTATATAGCTTGTCCAAAGTCATTCATTATTAATACTATTAGTAATATCTTCGGTAAAGGCTTTGATGCATAAATATTTCTGATAAAGGTAGGTTGTGTACTTTTGTCCAACTGAGCAATCTTGCTTTCATAAAATATACCAACATTTTAATGACTGATGATTAACATGCTGTAATACACAGTTCAAAATTAAAAGCTCAAAAGCTGTAACCGCGTGATACCGCGTGATACCCCGACACACCCACCGGGATGTGAAATACCCCACCCATTTTGAATGGCTGCATCTATACCAGCAGGTGGCGTTTATTACAGAACCACTGTAATAAAGGTTTTCGCTTTTCTAAATGTACTCTTCCTACTTGGTCTTGTACAGCATCTTCCTAAATTGGCTCACTTCTCAGTCTTAGAATGTAAAATGTTTTCTTCCAGATTTGACTGAATATTGTGTATTTCACACTAGCCTAAATGTAAAAAAGTGAATTTCCCTTTAGATGAGCTACCTGTCCCTCTTAACCATACTTTAAACAAATTTCAATTAACTTGCACAGACTGTACAAGTACCCAATGTAATTTCACTCTCTTGAATCAGATACAGATCATGCTCTTTACATGAGAATATAAGTAAGGTTACAGATGAGAGGATACCATTCAGCACATCTAGCTCTTTTGGTAGTTAGCAGTTTCTTGAAAGAAGGTAGGGTATGGACTTCAAAAATGGAGGGATAGCTTGTTCTATACTCCCACAAGCCTTTGGGTAAAGCAATGCCTCCTGTTCTCAATTTTAAATACACTTCTACATACTTTCCCCTTGTAATTTTTGGTTAATATTTCACTGTTCATTCTGAAAAATGCCTGGTTAAATGTATCAATACTTTTAAAGATGATGAATTTTTGTTTCAGGTCCCTTTGTAGTGTCCTCCAAAAGCCTGTCATTGTAGGACATTCCCTTAAGCCCAATAATATATCTGATTGTTCTTCTCTAAGTTGAATCCAGTGCAGCAATATCTTTTCTATAACATGATTAACAAAATTCTACACAATGGCTGAATGAGGCCTTACTAGTGTGTTATAAAATTGCAACATAAAATACAGCAAGTACATTTAAAGTATATGTTTAGTATAACTTTATATACTTGTAGTTCAGGTGGGTAGTTGTGTCAGCATGCATAGGCTGCAAAGGAACAAATAATAGGTTTATTCTATGCTGAAAAGAGAAGAAAAGAAACACAATGTTTCGGCTGTAGAGCTTTCTTCGGGTGTGTCACACAAATTAATTTTACAGTATCGTAAAATTTTACAAATTCCGAATTGAGCACAAAATCGTAAACTTTGTAAAAGTACTGTATAATCACCATGTTGTCAAAAGGTCATGAGAATTGTGATGTGAGGCGGCCCTTCCTGGTTTTCTAGTCACTGAGATGAATAACGTAATGAGGTGAATAAGTACAGATTGTGCAGCAGACCTTTCACTGCCAAGGTAATCTGCATAGAGAGTAAAATGTAAAATATCAGCAAAACTGTTTTGAAGTTGAGAGCTATATTTCTATTGGATTAAGAGATGTATTCACAAGTCTGTTTGTTTACAAAGGAACTACGCAGTGCCAGATCCACCAGGCCTGTTTGACAGCCATATCTGGCCCATGTACATGAAACATAAAAACTAGTTGCAACAATGTAACAGGGCTGCTTCACCTCAACAGAAGCTTGGTTGTCTCATTCTGAATTGCAGAATATGGTGCTGTGCATACTCAGAAATTTCATATATTTAGTGACATAAACTGGAGGTTTTACACATTACTGTTCACATTTTCCTTTCATTGTGGTTTGAAATGCACTCATCAATGCAATTCTTTCTAACCCTAAAATATAAAAATAGTATTGCAGTTCCTCTTGTACATCAGCTATTGTATTTATAATTTATGTTTTAATTACCTGCATGCAATACCCTGCACTTGTCTAAATTAAATATTACTACATTTTACAAAGTGTTTACCCTGTCTTGAATTTTTATTTGTTTGTTTCATTTGCTGTTTTTACAGTGTTTTTGATAGTTCTCTTAATTAAACTGAGTATCATCTGTAGACCATATTAGTTTAGTATTCTGAATCTTTATCTTAAATAAGTTAAGAACAGTGGTCCTAGTACAAATCCCTGATTTCCGCCTGTTTGAAAAAAGCTATTTTCAGGTTTTAATCTGAAAAGCTGAAAAATTCAATGGCCCTAAAAACATATCCTTTTTCTTATTCACATAAAACTGGCATATAAAGTAACTATACAGTACAGTGCCCAATTAGTAGGCGTAATATAGTTGTGATTTTACAACGGTTAATTATATTACCCTTAGCACCGCAGAGACTACCTGATTCCAGCACAGACTAGCTGATTCTTCATTTTTCTACATGATGGAGAGCTTTAAAATGTTAGAATGGTAATTATTTTTATTATGCTATAGTCAGGTACTGTAGCTTTGACATACAGCATTTTTGTTGGTTTCACAAGTAGAAATGTTTATTATCTTAAAGTATACAGCAGTTCTGTCGTCAAAGAAAAAAAATGTTAAACAACAGGTTTTTTGGGATAGAATTAACCACATTACTCCAGGCACTTTTTAAGTGGAAAAGTTTGTCAGTGTTCCAGATTTATACATCTTCATTCGAATAGATTAAACTAATATTTTGTTTTCTATTAACAATTTAAAATGTCATCAATTCATATTTTGTTATAAACCCTTGTTTTTTATAGAAACAAAACAATATCAAATGGTGATTTCTAAAGGATGAAATACCTACATTTTTTAACTTAAACAATTATATTCTAATTAGTGCTAAATACAGTTATTTAATGTTACAATAACTAGGTTACACAATCTTTATTTTAACTCATTGCAAATACTTTGTCCTTGAAGATTATGCATTTAGTTAATCACCTTGCTACAGTAAGTTAATGATAAATTAATTTAAAAAAATGTCTTGTAACATTTCATTCACAGATAAACACTTCCAAGATGACTTTTAAAAATATGTGTGGTATAATAAATACAGCAAAAGAATAATACAAGGCTCCTTATTGTGATCAACAAGCCAGAAAAACAACTCTTTCAACTTAAGAGTGCTTCTTTCATGTTTCAATTAGCTTTCATTAAGTAACAAAAGAATATAAGTTTTAAAGAACTCGATACAGGGACTCCTAGATTAAAATAATTCATAATGTATCTAAATAAAAGTCTGGAATATTAGTTGGTCCAGCCGTGATTGATTTTAAATTTTCATTTATTATGATTTCAGTTAATAACACAACCAAACTGATTTAGATTTGTTCTTATATTATATCAACTACAAGTCTTTACTTAAATAATAACGTGCAACAGGTGAAAAAGTAATTATGTATGCTCTAGTCTGTATAAGCATAAAATTAATTAATAAACATCGCCTGAACATGATTTCAATTTACATGATAAATCCTTCAAGCCTGAAGTACATTCCTAAATGCAAAGCATATCATGTTACCTGCGGCATCGCTCCAAATACTATTCTATCCTTAATCATATTAGCCGTGTTTTATTTGGTAGGAGGAGCCCACGACCCAAAGGTGGAGCTCTCTCTTTCCCATGAGTGTGCGACTCGACAGAATGTTAATGCAACAAGGCTAACCGGCTGAGTCAGAAGCCAAGAAGTGTACTTTAAGCTTACCTAGCAACATTTTGCAGTTGCAGTTACAGTAATCGAGAGGGGGGTGTTAAGGGAAAAAATGATTTAGGATTGCTGTGTTAAATTCAGCGCTGTATCTAAAGATGAGCTTAATCAACAATTAACGGACAGCACTAAGAAGAAAACTGTGACAGGATGTCTAAACCTGAAATCTATTATTTTTTAGCAGAATGGGAAATTACAGTGTAGCTCGGATGTAGTTGTAAGCATTTTTAAGGGTCTTTTGGATTTTACAGATTGTTTCGCCTGTCGAGATATAACTCGACTCGAAGAGCTGCTGAAAGTGTTATTTTTCTCAGTATTATTTAAGTGTGAAATAATATATTTTTAGGGTTTACGCCAATTTTGGATTGACGAAAGACTTTTCCTATTCTGTATTGTGGGTAAGTGACCATTAGTAAATTCCGTCTGATACTGATAGTACGTTTCATTCTAGTTTGATATTTGAAGATGGTGTAGAAAACTACGGTACTACATAACCATGTAGGACGGATAAATAACCAAGATGAAAAAAAAACGTGGTATCAAGGAGTTTTTAAACAAATCTCCTTTGAGAACTCTATTTTTTTTGGCAAATTCGAATACAAACAAGTGTAAATCGTATCCTACGTGGATTCTGACCAACTGACAATATTCTTTGGAGTGAATACCTACTTTACCTCGCATTTAAGTATTTTTAAAATCCCAAATTTCTGATAAAAGGGGAGTGTGTATTCGGAGACAGGAACGTAAAGCTCATGTAATCCTATAGTGTGCTCACATTTAACATTTTCGGTAGTCATGGCTGGACAGTAGAACAAGTCTGGTCCTGTCAAAGTATTTTAAATATCCACTTCGCTAATCATGATTTGTACCTGTAATAAGCGCTAAATGGTTTCGTGTTGTTATCGTTTTGAATAAAATAATATTGCAGTCAAAACAACGAACGTCAAAATTTGTGCCAGAGCTATTGTTTTATTATTTACTTTTCTTTCAACAGTGGTAGCGTACTTCTAATAAAACTTAAGATGACTGATGATACATTTTTCTACAAAGGTGCCAGTGCTGCATATTATGACTTGCGCAATTAGAATATGCATGTCGTAATTAACAGTGCTTATTATTGTCATAATTAACAATAATTGTTGTTCAATAATCACGTTATGTTTTTGTTTAAAACCCCTGTTTGATGCATAAAAAACAAACCATTAAAACGTGTTTGAGATTGAGTACAGTATTCAGATGGTTAAGCTCCAGGGAAAGTGGATACAGAAAATTAGCGGCAGTCAACAGATGATTTTCAGGAATACTGGGTAAATGTTGGTGGATGTAAATAATAGAAATGCGCACGATTTTGAAGTGTTTTACTACTGAATTCACTACGTTATAGTTGCCTTGGGGTTTTCGTGTGAAGGCTAGCTTGTGTATGATTGTCTTGGTTTGTTAAACCCAGACTATAACAATAACAACCTTCTGCAAATTCTATTGCTACGGTATATTTTAACGTATTCAATTCTGACATTAATATTTTTACATTTCAGTTTTTAAAATTTATATTGGGGTAGCTAGAATTTCACACACGTTGTGGACTTTAGATTTTAAAAGCTCTCGCACAGAGAACCAATAGACAACAAATAAAAAGCAGGTGTGGATGTGTTAAAAATTAGCTTCCTTTTATGCATACTAAATAACCTCATGTGTACCGTGTAAAGCAGATTTGTTTGGTGTTTTGAATGAAATATTAAAAACTATGCAGTGACAATCCTTGGCAAAGGATTATGGTGTTCTGTACAACATTCAGAACTTTTTTTAAAATAACCATTGCCGATTACAAATTTAAGTTATGTATATTCATGAACAAACACACCATTGGTAAACAAATTGTGGGATTAATGTTTTGTGTTTACATCCAATGCTTTTTGTATGCAGAGAGTGTTCCACTTAATTATGTAGTTGAGATCATCAGTCCTGGTGTACTAGATTGTAGCTCATATCCGGTACATAAACTTGGCATTAAGTTTGTGGATATGGGTATAATTAGCTCATTTAGGATAGTTCATATGTTTCACATGTCCTTCAGAGATTCTTTTCTAGTAATTCAGCAGAGTTATGATGCTCTAACCTTTTTCCTGTGAAGATGATTTGAGGTAGTGGACAGCCACAGCTGGTGTTGAGCAGTTTTTCTTCTCCTGACTTGTATCCCACAATGAAAGTAAAGTAAATGTGCATCCCTATTTTGGCATGGCTTGCTGAATAACTCCACTATAAACATCAATGAGGACATGTGGGTGAGGTCAAATGATCCTGCAGATCTTCATTCCGATTCTGTGCCAAAAATAGGCTCTTATCCTGTAGACCGGGACCACTGATTAATACCTTTTAATCCAACAAATATATCTTATCGCTGTGTTTGTTACTATAATATACTTTTAAAACATAAGTCATTCAATAAAACATCAAGTCTTGAGTGTATGTAATATTTGATCTACAGTATGTTTGCTTTTTGTGATATGAAAAATTCCCTTACTCAATTTGTGTCACTTAAATTTTCCCATACTCCATTCATTAACTTATTTATTACAATTAGAACAGTGCTTATATTTTTTCATAGAATAATGTTTTTATTGAGAGAAAGTTACAAACATCCTTGGGTAAAATACATCCATGTCCTAGTGCATTACATTCTATAGGATAGACTGACTGTTCTGGCTTGAGCTCAGTAGTATCCTTCAAAAAGCACAAGAATTTTAACCTGAAAGCCTGCTTAGTGAATGAGTATGTAAGAAATACATGTGAAAGGAAGCATAATATGATTAATTTACATTGACATTTCTTTGAGAAAGATCTAGCAAAATGTTTTTAAGAGTTAAAGTAAAACTCAGCTGAGTGTATTCTTAGTCAGCACAAAATAAGTTTAAAAAATGTATGAATTCATGTAATTTACATAAATATTCATATTTGCACTGGTTACGATTTAATCTGTTTTCAAAAACAATAATAAAAAAACTTTTTACAACATTTCATTTGCATTCAATGAAACTGCAATTTTTATAAAATATAAAGTATTTGGTAGTTTGCTCCATATACACGCAGAACATAATCTAGTTCTAAGCGCTGAGTAGAGACCTATGATTTTTAAGGAAAGATGACTGTGTAAAATTTGTGATGTTACTTTAAATTTTGCAGTATATTTCTGCCACTGTTCATTCCAGTGGCTCTGATGTCCTATCACTGTTCTTTTCTTTTCCCATCCATGGGAAAACCACAGAAATCACGGAAATCACTTCAGAAAAAAAGCTGTGTAATTAAATAATAAGAATAACAACATACTGATAGCATAGTTAAAACATAAAGAAGTTATAGGAATACATTGTATACATGGTGAATTGTATCATTGTAAAAGTATCTTACCAAATTTTCATGCAATTTAAACTGTTTTGAGTTGACTTTAATAAGTGTTTTTTTTTCTTCTGGCTATTAATACACCCTGTTACATTATCCTTTAAATTGCTTTTTTAAGTTGTACAGTATCAGGTATAAATACCATTTACTTTTCACTGTGGAGGTTATTCCATTTGCAATACTTTAAACATGTTATTCCACTGAATAGTACTACATATACAAAAGAACTACTTTTTGGTCCCAAAAGATGCTTTCCATAATCTTACTTGGTGATGACATGATGCAGACGTCTTCGTTTAGAGAGGTACTGAGTGCTTACATTGCGTTGATTCTGTTGGTTAATGGAATCCGCTCTCTGGTGGCTATCTTGTTAGTCAAGGCTTATGAACATTCATCTAGCAGTACCTTTAGACATGCTAAAATGCTTATGATTAATGATTTCAGTGCTTCCATGGAATTTTCAAACTATTAAGATGTATGTGTGCTGTAGCTAGGGGAACGTCCCAAACGTAGAGGATTCTGTCAGTAATGCTGGCTCAATCCTAAAGAAACACCCTAAGGACCCCCCAAAACATGGACGAGCAGTTTTATGTGGGTTATTATATTATGTTATTATAAAAAATATTATATATTATTGTGTTTCTATGATTATTATAATGTTCCAAATGTATCTAGTTCTATGTTCTAGGTTGATTTATAATCATATAATAATGTTATTATTGTTAGAGTTCATTCAAGGGAGGCCAGAGAAAGGCACAGTAATACCATACTTACAAATTACTATTGTATTCAATCCCACAGTATGTGATGTGCAACATATGGAGCATCCAATAAAACCATAAGCAGAAAAACTGTGATGGTCAATCCAGTAACTGCTTAAGAAGTAATAGATATTAGAGTTGGACAAGGTCAATTCAATAACGTATAGCAAGAATAGAATAGGAAGATTAGCTGGGCCTATATAGTGTGAGGCACAAAGTTCCATGTGCATTAACAGTGTCATGCCTGGTACAACCTCAGTCATGCTTGTGTCAGTCTAGGACAGTGGTTCTCAAACTCAAACCAGTTGTAGTACGAGGAGGTCCGCCAGGCAGTACACCATATGAACCCTGAACTTTGTTGTGTGCACTGAAAAATTGGGACAGGTTTTCATATTTTCTATTTAAAGAAAATTAGTTTATGTCGAATACGCAGCTTACATACTACGATACAGCACGTGCTAATACTTGAGTGGACACAAGAGCTACAATGTAATTCTATACCATTCAATAGGAATGTTTGCTACGAACACAAGTGACCAATTGTATTTTAAAAAAGGTATCTCCAGCAAATAGAGAGATAGGAGAATGTGTGTGATTTTGGAACAATGCCAATGTTGTAATCGCAGAAAAGCATAGAAATGCATACTACTAATACTGGCAATCTTGTGTGCACAGGAAAGCGTGATAGATAACAGAAAAATATTGAAGAACTGATCTAGGTTAATTTGAGAAAAATACGCCGAGTGTCTCTGTTTCGCTCCCGTGCGCATGAAATAAAAACTTATTTTAACTTCTGAGACAAACTCCTGAAATGGAAATGGAGAAAAATGCAAGCTTGCGGATTGCTAAAGCTGGTAAGCCCCATACTACTTGTGAAGATCTTTGTTTACCGTTGGCAAAAGAGCTGACACATATTATGTGTGGAGAAAAAGCTGCTGAACAGCTCGACCTGCTGCCCCCTCCGAAAGACACAGTCATTCATAGAATTATTGAAATGGCAGATGATATCAAAAGTACGCTGATAAAGGGTGTAAAGATGTGCAGATGCTTTTCACTGCAATTAGATGAGTCTATAAATGTCATTGATTTGGCCAATTTGCACGTTTATGTTTGATATGAGTTTGAGGGTACGTCCCATGAGGGCTTTCTGTTCTGTAAGCCGATACCAACAGGAACTACAGGAGAGCACATATTTCAGCTTCTGAATGAATTTATCAAAGAGAATGTCATCGACTGGATAA